GTTGGGGAAGCAGCCTATGTATGTACGTAATTGGTGGATTTGTTAGTTATTTCGAGGCCTTTGGACAATGCTTGACATTTACCACTTTTTCAATAGTTTCTTGTTGAAAATCAAAAGCATTGTTAGCGATGCGGGGAAATATTTCTGATCGATTGGTGATACAATTATTGAAATTGGTTCAGGGGAAGCTGAGGTATTAACGTTCTAAATCTTTCATAATTTCGTTACATGTTCCATTTTCGGTTTTCACAAAGTGTACCCCCATATAGAAATCACAGACGTAGTCTTACATCAAAATCGGTTCATTTTGCATTTACTACTCACTCACACGCATACAACATCAGAAACGAACAGCAGCTTGTGCGAGCCGCACTGATTTCGTTTGTATTCGCCTTACTTCTATTTTCTTCGATGAACGCAAACATTGCATTCTGCTGAGTGAGCTGAATGAGAATTTTGCAGATAGAATCACTTTTTATTATCTAGCTTTAAACATACATTGACACATTTCATAGGGCGAAAAATGTTATACTGCAACACATAAGCGTCACGCAAATACCGTAAAACCAACCAGTCGAAACTGACGATTTTAAATTGGCTAACTACTTGACTAGCCTATTGGTCCCAAGCAAATCGATTAACGTACCCCATTCTAGTATAAATTCTAGTACTACACAATGTTTGTTTTGATTCGCTTTGAAAGTTTGACAGATAAAATGAGGGGTTCGTGGATTTTTCTATGTTTCGAGGGGTGCATCGATTAGCTTGGGACCGAAGATAGTACCAGAGCTGAGCCAAAAAATTGGGCACGTTTCTTCGGGACCTACTAGTCTTAGAGTTACCTCTATGGTAAAACTGCTGTGGTCAATTCAACTGATTTAAATCAGTGAGCCAAAAACTAGCAGGGGATGACTCGACTATTTGAATCGTTAGCATTCGGATTTTACGCATTCGATCTGGGAAAATTGTTCGGCTGCCTATCCTTCATTCCTTCTACTGCTGTCAGTTCCGAGTCTATCTGCAGAGTCAATTGGTTGGAAGAATTTACACTCATGCAGCAATCTGTTTGTAGGTGAGGATGGTTATTTTGTTTTTGTGGTGCTCGCTCGAGTGAAAGAATTTTCCCATGCTTGCATAGGAATACCAGATCACCATCGGTCGATGGTTGTTCCATCAATATTTGCAATCAAGTACCACCATGTAAGTAACGATAAAAGTTTTTTTTTACAGATGGGTCACCATATTTTACGCAGTAGAGCGAATTGCCTCACTACCTTCTGACCATTCTTTCATTTTTACGGATAGTCTTAGCTCATTGGAGGCTATTCGTTCAATGAGGCCGATGAAGCACTCCTCGTATTTCCTGCTTGAAATACGATCTAAACTGAGTGCTTTATCTAACTGCTCCTATACCATCACCTTAGCTTGGGTCCCATCTCATTGCTCAATTCCGGGTAATGAGAAAGCGGACTCGTTGGCTAAGGTGGGCGCTATGGAAGGCGATATTTTTGAGCGACAAATCGCTTTCAACGAACAGCAAGTCCTCATTAGTTGGCAACAACAATGGAATAATGGTGATTTGGGAAGATCAGGTGACAGGTGTCGAACAAACCATGGTTCAAAGGGTTGAACATGAGCCGCGACTTTATACGCGTTATGTCAAGACTTATGTCCAATGTTCGTTAGACTCACACTTCTATCGAAATGGGCTCTCAGGCAGCAATTGGTTATCACGATATCGAGCATGTTGTTTGGTCTTACACCGTGTTGCCAGATCTGAGTTATCCACATCCCTCAGGGCCCGAGGAAAACAACCCGCGATACCCGTTAGAGATGTCTTGGCAAGCCGAAATCTCGACTATTTTAATTTAATTTATATGTTTTTAAAACGGATAGATCTGAGGATTTAGTAGTTAGTATCATCTTGTGTTCTCCCAAGTTGTTAGCTCCCCATCGGTCTGTCTTTTTCATCAGTATGTCGCTTAGTTCGAGATCAAGAGCACATTACTCTCCAAACCTTGTGTTCTCAATCCCTACCCTGCCATCCATTTGTTACATTTTGTTACCCCTAGCCTCGAAATAGCCGCGAGTAATTGGCCCCCGCAACGTTAGTTTTAAGTAATTTTGTGATCCAAACAATGAATATCGGCTCCGCAAAGCTACGGCAAATGAACCAGGAAAAATAAACGCATTATATATAAAAAAAGATATGTAAAGATATTTCCTGATGATGAGAAGATCTAAGAAGGGGAGTTTGCCGTCTTTCTATTCTTCGTGAGTATTTTTGATGTCCTTGTGAACGTTGCTTATGGCCTCCAAAGTCGTTGCTTATGGCCTCCAAAGTGTTTAATAAATATTCCCTTTCGACAATGCTAAAAATGTCAGCCACGTACCTAAACCAACACTTAGGCAACAAATTCCTATCCTCCAGAATACCGTATGAGTGATAATGTTTGCATCATTGAGCAAGGTTCTAATGATGTAGTCTGGATCCATTTCTCTCCAGGTACGGGTCAATCTTTGTCTGAGGCTTGCTGTACTCGCGTGGCGTCTAGAACAGGCCTTGGCCTTCATGACGCGCCATATTGAGTAATGCAGCGGATCAAGATCGGGGCTGGCCACATATCCTTCGCCCAGACCGGAAAATGTTCCTGCAACCGCTTCTGAGTACGGTTCGAGGTATGGCACGGAGCCCCATCTTGTTGAAATACAACATTTTGGCTTCGGACCGTACTGTTCTTTGATCCACGGAAGAACATACTTACTTAAAATCCCGATGTAGACCTCCGTGTTGACCTTGTCGCCTTCTGGAATGAACACCGGGTCCATTTTTTTGCTATCGGTTGCCACCAATCCAAACACCATAACGCTAGCAGGATGCTTGGTCAGATACACGTTCTTGTGCTCGTCGGCCACGTCTTTTACCGGAAGAGAACTAATATACCGGTCGGTTCTGGAATTTGATACGGGATCGACGGTAAACATGCTCTCGTCTGTGAACAGGATTACCGGATTTTGTCGCTAAGGAAGTTCAAGATTTTCTTGCATCGTTCGACTCGTAGCTCCCGGATGCGGTTGGTAGTCATGTGAGTTTTTTCCGTGCCCTCGACTTCGCCCCGCAATCTTCCTTTAAGATCTTCCGTGCCGTAAAGTCACTGATTCCGTGTTCCTTTGCCATTTTCCTTATTGAACGCACTGGATTCACCCGAATCTTCCTTTTGATAGCAGCTATAACCCTCGGAACCCGAGCTGACCTCGGACGACCTGTGGCCACCTTCGCGGATAGTTGTCCTTTCTTTTCTCGGTCTAAAACCCTTTTGACGGTCCACCGGGACACTCCCACGGCGATCGAAATGTCAACATTTGCGCGTGGGGCAAATCACGAATACGCTGCCACTTCGTCATGGTGCAACTGTCAAACTAAGTAAATCATTTTCTTTTATACACAGCCTACTGCGGTATGAGCTAAAGGTTACGTGCATGCAAAGAAAACCAAGGCATTGTATGCACAGGTGAAACGGGAACCTTATTTGTACGATGGTGCAAACATTATCACGCATACGGTATTTTCTAGGTTAGCCAACATAATAATGGGGAAAGCACCTTGAGCTTGTTTATCAAAATTATCTCTGAAAATGAAATATTTTTTCTCCATACACACGCCTTTAAAATTTAACGCAAATAAAGGTATAAAAAACATTCATGTACAATCAATGTTTTATAGCTGTACGTACCAACAATGGCTACGTAGAAACTACATCAAATGTCAATTTACTAAGTTTTTGCTGTGTGTGAGGTGAATTCCATTAGTAATTATTTAAGATCTTATGAAGTATTCCCTAGGAATTCAATAAGGAATTCCGGGGAAATAAAATTTACAGCTCTTGTAGAAATCCTCGAGGAATTTCTGGGGAATCCAAGAGGTGTTCCAGGGAAATTCAAGGAAAAAAATCAGGGGCGATCAACGAAGAGGATGTCCAGGAAAAATTCTAGAAGGTCTCCATGAGCAATTTGATAGGGATTCCAGAATGAATTCTATTTCGAGTTCAAGAGGAGTTCATGAAGATTTCCATGTGGAATCTCATAGAATTTAAATTATACGACGAATTACTGGGGAATTTCATGGGCAATTTCAGAGGAGCAGTGTCAGGGAAATTTAAAAAGAACTGTGGAATCTCATAGAGAAAATTCCCGGAGAACAATTTGCCGATTTTCAACGAAACACACCTTCTCCAGTCAGCCAGCTAATGTATATATGGCATCGATGAAAGCAGGAAAAACAAACGATCGGAACAAATCGAATAGAACCGGATTCTTGTGTGTGGCATGAGTGCCTCGTCGTTCGAGCACACACACGTCAGCATCGCTTGGGAGGCATGCCATAACTTCGGTATTCATAAATGCTTCCCCTCCTGCCCCCACAGGAAATTCCTCCTCTGTTTCAACGAGTTTAAAACGAGCACACTTTCGGGACGCAAAAAAGAACTCTTCTAACTGCTGGCTGCTATGACAGAGGCTGTGGATGCTGATAACTGCAATCGTTCATTCGTTATGGTTGTTGTTGTCGATGCTTGTTCCCTCAACCTTAGGAATATGTTGTGAAAAATTTATGCCCCTCTTCTTTTCAATCGTTTCAATCGACTGACGATGGCTTTCGAGCGCAATCACTCACTCACTTTCCAACTTTGTAGCTCCTACGGACGGCACTGAAGCTTGGCGAGACGCAGGAAGATCCAAATCAATTCTGACTGGTTATGAAAGATTTTCCCCTGCTCCCGTCCTTTGCCAAGGTCTACCGATCGTATTTTACTAACAGGACCAAAGTGATTGATTTACTATGATTCGTTCGATAACATTGCGTGATTGCATCACAAGCCCAAGTTCTTGTTGAGGGCTATCTCTGGAATTGTGCTGTCGATGCGTCGTTATTGTTTGAGTGTGGTTTGATTGAAGTAGTTGCATTAAGTGAATATACATTTTGCTTTTGCTCTCCTACACAGATATGACATCATGAACTTCCAACTGATCAATGGCAGCTACGATTACGTTCCAGTTGGAGAGTGGAATAATGGATCGCTAACCTTTACGCAGAATCTGCAGGCATCGCCGGTGGAATCCGTTTGTTCAAAACCGTGTCCACCCGGTTCTTACAAGGTACGTATTCAACCCTATCGTTTGTAAGTGATTAAAATCGCGCAAATGAATCCTTGTCGTCGTCCGATCTCATTATCCACGTTTCCCATTGATACAGTTGCATTGAGTCGGTAGGTATTCAGGTAAAATCGTGTCGCATTCATTCATTCATGGGCAACTTTTCTACCGCCAACCCGTTTTTCAAACGGGAGATAAGCGAATTAAAAGAAACTGCTTACGGTTGCTTAATTACTCGGCACACAGGTGCCGCCGCAATAATGAGAGAATCTTCCCGGAACTGTCACACTTGCAAAGGACATAATATGAAAAATGTTTGGGGGGAAATGTAGATGGTCCATGGCATCATGATGAGGCTTTTAACATCGACTTGGTACTTAATAAGACAATCCCCAAGAACTGGGACTCAGCTAGTTTTCTTCTTGCCTGCGAGGAATCATATAAATTTTTCAATCGTTCATCTTCGTCGTAGATTCACCACTTTAGATTTTCTTTTTATAGATTGTGGAAACGGAAATCGAACAATTTATTCATCTACCGACAAGCGGTTTACACCACCGTTAAAGTTGTTCAAATATCGTTATAGCGCATCAGTGGAAACCTTTTCTTCGCGCTTTGCTTCCAGCAAAGCGTTGACAGTGAATGAAAGGAAATTAGGTTTCTCTATTTATATAAGAAGCACGTTCTTGTTCCTTGACTTGCTCCGGCAGAAACGATCGCTCTTTACAGAATTTCAACATTTATTGATAAAACGGATAATGCTGCCCCCGTGTAAACTATGATGCGTCTCCATTGATAGGAACGGAAATGTGGAACGACGTTAACATGACAATTTAATCACAACCGCCATCAACCTAGAACTAGCTTATCCTTTACTCGGAGAAAACCACCCTCAACCGGGATCCCAAGCGGCACAAACTAATAGTTCCCGGCGTACAATTCTTTGTGCCTTTCCGGATGTCATAATTGGACCGGTTCCGTGTTCACACACAAAAGAAAAAGATCCATGTCGCCACATCAAGCAAACCTACACCCTTCACAGCGCCTATCTACGTGGAGCGAAAAAAAGAAGATAATTAAATCATTTGCATATTTAAAGCAGGCTTTCCACACCCTCCCCGCCCAGCAGGTGGCTGATTCGGATGTCCTCCGGAGCGTGCGTTCAGTTCGTGCGCTCGTTCGTCCGTCACCGTGTCGTCGCCGGTATGTTTTATAATCAAGCTCATCACTTCTTTTCACACCCGGCGCACCTGGAATTTGATGTGACGTGTAAGTATAAAGGACGTAGAATTACTACGCTTTTCTGGTTTTCCACATATGACATGATGATTCTGTCATATCGTAACCACGCACCGATACAGGCTGTGGAACGAACGTCCAAGAAAAAATCTAAAAATTGAGGATAGGTATGTGGTATCTGTTAGGATTTACCAACCGCTGGCAACTAACGATTTTAAATTGGCTCACTACTTTACTAGCCTATTGGTCCCAAGCAAATCGGTTAGCGTACCCCATTCTACTCTAAATTCTAGTACTACACTATGTTTGTTTTAATTCGCTATGAAAGTTTGACAGATAAAATTAGGGGTTCGTGGATTTTCCAATGTTTCGAGGGGTGCATCGATTAGCTTGGGACCGAAGTTGAGCACGTTTCTTCGGGACCTTCTAGTCTTAGAGTTACCTCTATGGATTTACTCTGGGAATCATTCACAGTTTGAAAAAGTAGAGCGATTTTCTGGTAAATATAATGCACATGAATGAAGCGTCATAAAACATACAGCTCTACATTATATATCATGTAAAGTTAGGGCTTGTATTTTACAACCCCCCTTCCCCCATAACAAATCTTAAAATTCTTCACACACCCCCACGCCTAGCCGTAAAGCGTAACAATGCAATTGTTATAAAAGAATAAATAAACAATTTGGTTTTGTACTTCAACCAATCATGTTTTTATTACTTCTGCGTGAAGTTATCGATTTTACATAGTTGAAGATGCTAAGTTTCAAATGTTCGATCGCTCGCCTACTGTGAAGACCTTGGGACTTCTCTGGTTTCCCCAATCGGACACATTCAAATTACAGATACCAGCTCTGCCAACGCTCAACGCCGCAACAAAACGCCTCGTCGTGTCCGAAATGTCACAGCTATTCGATCCTCTTGGCCTTCTGGGACTCATGGTGGTTAAAGCCAAGATGTTTATCCAAGTTCTGTGGGTAGAAAACTTGGAATGGGACGAAGTTCTATCTGAAAAATACGCTGCCTGGTGGGCAGTCTATCGTTCGGAGCTCAGCCAACTACAAACTCTCTCGCAGAGCCTTGCAGAGTCACCAATACAGCTTACACTGCTTCTGCGATGCTTCGAAAACAGCATACGGCTGTTGCATCTACGTCGTTTCTCGTGTCGATTCCGGACAGCTCCACCTACTGACTGCTAAATCACGCGTTGCTCCACTGCGTGGACAGTCCATTCCTCGACTAGAACTCTGCGCTGCACTTCTTGGCAGCCAGCTTGTCGACAATCTACGACGAAACACTGAATTCGTGAAACCTCCAACCCTCTGGGTGGACTCTACAATCGTTCTACATTGGATCAAGTCACAGTCGAATGTCTGGAAGGTTTTTGTCTCGAACCGCATCGCTGAAATACAGCGTCTCTCGAAGGATTGCACGTGGAGGCACGTACCGTCGGAATTGAATTCAGCCGACCGGATTTCTCGAAGGACGATTTGTGGTGGCATGGACCGAGTTTTCTCAAAACCCCCGTTGAAAATTGGCCCGAGTGTGTGGTTTCGACGCCGGACACTTCCGATTTGCAACAAGAAGCCTGCCCAAACATCGTTCTGCATAGCACTACCGTCGATTCATCACTGTTCGAACGTTTCTCGGACCTAGCCAAGCTAGTACGCGTCGTAGCACGATGTTACCGATTCTTCAGCAACGCAAGGCTCCCCCGGAGCGAACGAACTATCGGTTCACCAACCCCAGAGGAAGGTGAACATGCGCTCAAGATTCTAGTACGAGAAATTCAAGTAGCGTCCTTCCCGGCTGAAGTTTGTTACTATCGTCGCCTGCAAGATGCACCATCCGCTGCAGCAATATCATCGTCGAAATCAACACTCAAGCACATGAAGCTGTTCAATAGACTGATGCAAAATTTGACTTTTTCGCTCCACAGTGCTTAAATGGTTTCAAATCGTGTCCTGATTAGCCTCCCAAAGTTACAACTCATTTGGTTAGAAACAGACTTCGCACAAGCCATTTGAAGTTTACATGTAAATTACTATGGGAAATCTCAACTTTTTGTTTATTGCCTTCTAGTGTTTTTCCATATTGAGCAGAGAAACAGTTCGATTGCCATTCTTATAGAAAATTTTCTCAGCTACAACTTTGCTAAAGATTGTTTCTATGTAAAACGAGATAGAAAAAAGTTATTAATTATTTAAGAGATTGGTAAACTTATGACAAGATCAAGCAGCTGCTCTGTAGGCAACACTGTATTTTGCAGTGTAACATAGTAACCATGATTTTTGTGTCCTATTCAACGCCCCAGAAACACCAATGTTGCCTGCTAAGCAGTTGATTGAGCATGATTATAAGACATCAGCGCATTGAACCATTGATAACTTTCGATCCTTGCATTTAATCAAAAAGTGGTCTTCAGCAAAGTTGTAGCTGGGAAATGCTCCTACAAGTACAGTTGAAAGTTTGAAGCAGACCAATATGGTGAATTATTAGATAGACATGAATAAAAATCTTGGTTTTACCACAGACAAACAGACGTAACTCTTCATTGTGTATCTTCGTTCACGCATATAACGGTTGATTTAAATATTATCAGTTCCGCGAACTACTCGCCGCAGCGCTGGCATCGGATCACTTTGACGTTTCTATACATTCTATAGAACTTTTATGCAATATTGTTTGCGAGTTAGCGAGCAAGCTTGTTTTCCGCGAGAAGCCTGAAAGATGTCGCTACTGAGGTCCTATGTTTTGAGATACTATGTATTCAAGAAAAACTTTTTCAAAGAGTTACGTCTGTTTGTCTGTAGTTTTACCATAGTAATTCCCATACAAACTTCAAATGGTTTGTGCCATCTCAGTTTCTCACCAAATGGGTTCAAATTTTGAGAGGTTAGTCAGGATCCGATTCAAAATCGTTTAAGTATTGTGGAGCAAAAATTACAAATTTTGCATCACTCTACTTTTCATGGACCAGTTCGGCTTGCTCAGGCTCGACGGAAGACTACCCGAAAAAAAAATTACAGTGAAATTTTCAGTGGAAACAATGCTCTTACATTAATATTTATTGTCGACAATAAAAATGATTGTTATAATGTTGTACCCTTCCAAAACGGCAAAACTGTTACCTAGCTGTACAATGAATGTACATAATAAAATGTTGTTACAATGATTTTTATTGTATTTTTCATTTATTTTATTGTTAACATGATTCGATCACAGACAAACAGACGTAACTCTTTGAAAAAGTTTTTCTCGAAAACATAGTTTTCAAAACATATTACCTTAGTAACGACATCTCTCGGGCTTCTCGCGGAAAACAAGCTTGCTCGCTAGCTCGCAAACAATATTGCATAAAAGTTCTATAGAATGTATAGAAACGTCAAAGTGATCCGATGCCAGCGCTGCGGCGAGTAGTTCGCGGAACTGATAATATTCAAATCAACCGTTAAATGCATGAACGAAGATAAACAAAGAAGTGTTACGTCTGTTTGTCTGTGATTCGATCACGAACAATAATGAACAATTCTATTACAATAAAAAATGTTGTTACATTAAATATTGGTGTGTTTTCATTGTGGGTTACTTCACGAACAATAAAAATAAATCTGATTGAAGCATGCAGACTATGAGAGGGTCAGCAACACTGCCAATGTAATCAAGATAGGTGCTGCTCGTATGGCTCTTGCTTTGACAGTTCGTTTGGCTCTATTCGTTGCCAAGTCAATTGAACGCCTACGACCAGATCGGTTTGAGTTGAA